TGTGTAAAGAATGAAGTCTCTGGCCAGTAATGAGAAACATTAGAAGCACAACCAAGAGTAACAGCAGAAGCCATTAAACGGTACAGATAAAGACAATTTAGCCAATCAGAACGAGCCTCTGGCCTGCTCTTTGTGCACAGCGGCTTTTCCAAACCTGCTCGCTTCCAAGGGTTGGTGTAGATGTGTGCCCAGAGGGCTGTCATGCTGGCAGGCCTAATCGCTAGCTTAATCCCCCTCTCTGATTTTGGTAATTAAGGTTCAAATGGAAGTAGAACTGCTCTCTGCATTCTCGAGCTTTGTCGCTGGAAGTCAGGTTTAGCTATAGAATATACACACACACACACACACCTCTAAATGTTCATACCCAAACACATTTTAAGGACCATTTGCACAGACGCCAACAGAAAAAGAAACAAAGCAACTCCTGGGCTCCATTTCACCATTGAACAAACAAATATGTCTCTAGCTTTGAGCGGTGATAAAAATAATCTTGACTTGAGGAAACTATAGAAAACCAAATGCATGTTATGGAAATAGAAATTCACTCTCTTTGGTGCGTTTCTGAAGATTTTAAAGCTACCAGCCTTTTAAGGAATTGAAAGATTCCTTTTAACTCCAGTGAATTTCAGATAATTGGTTCACCGTCTGGTCTCCCTCAAAGCTCGTCTCTATATACAATCACTGAAAACACAACAAAGAAAATGTCACACTGCACAACAAAATTTCCCTTATCATTTCATCCATCTGGTTCAACAATGTAAAAAAAAGATCTTAGACTATTGAGCTGTTATAACTTTATATTATTTAATCCATTCGTGCATGTGTGTTGAGCCAAATGGAAGTCTGAATAGAAAAAGGCACCGTGCATAACATCCATGTGTCAGGTAGCCGGCTAATGGCACACCATCTTGTGTGCAGTTCTCCGTAATGCATCCATGGTGAGTGGTCTTTTCAAATAGCCACTCTTGAAAAGACTCACCATGGTTGTACAACACCATTAGTGTTAGATAGTTTTGCAAGTGCCCCAAATTGAGCTAAAAATACAGCCACAGTTCCCCAGTCATGGTTTAGATTGCATAAAAATGTTGGACAAGTTTTGACAACGCCAGCAAATGTTTGAGAGAGACAAGAAAGCTGAGGAGTGTCACAATATTACACATAGGTTAGATTGATCACAAAGTGGTGCTTAAGAGGTGGTTTGGCAGCAAAAATCCTACTAGGCTGAGTATGTAATATTACCATCATATGTCTATACATACAGGCTAATGCAGTATGAGGCACTGTAAATAAAAACGCACATTGCTCAAAAGCGATAAAGTGCATCCTGGGTATGTGTTAGTCATCTGGTTGTGGTTGACTTGTTTTACAGGTTGTAAATAATCTGCATCCATCTTTAATCTGGACTCAGCGATTTGACATTGCATCCAGATTCTTTGAAGACCTGTCAGGACTTTCATTAAAGTTACAGAGATTCTGTTTGCATTGACTTGAATACATGTGGTATAAAAGCTTTAAAGTAGTAGGCAGTGATTTTCTGTAGGCAGGCGGTGTTCGGTTGCAGCGATGGCTCCTCTGAGTCATGCCCCTACGTCCCACTCCAGGACACGGGGGGCAATGCCAACAATTCTTCGCCCCAACTGGAAAAATAATAATAATAATAATAATGAGGTTTTCTGGTTTTAAACTACTCAACAAAAAACTACTTTTTACTCTATTTTAAAATAGACAATACAAATCTAGTTTTAAATTGTGCAGCTGCTGGCCTCTAGCAGCTCTACTGTATTTCTATTTTCTTCTGTTTTGTAGCTCTTAAAGCTGGGTAGATTTCCCAAAACGGTGAAAAATATTAAGTCATAGTCAGAATTTGTTTATCCAGCATCACCGCGAGCAGGCCGGTTTGTTTACTTGAAATCTTTCTCTCCCACCTGAGAAAATGGACGCTCCTCATTAGGTTCCTATCTAAGAATAGCAAACCAAAGTTAACAGATGGTATCGCAGAGATCACACTGCACTAACAACAGGTGACAGTGGGCGCTCTGTAAATGTTTCCCCTGCCAGAGCTGAGCAGTTTTACACTTAATTAAAGGCTCATTTACCCAGAATCTCAAAATTAGGAACTTTTTTTAGGACCTCCTAATCAGCTGAATAAAGTTAACCTCTTCCACTTTATAGAAGACGGATCGACACTTTCTAATCCATGAGCACAGAAGTCCCAACCAGAGGTTGTAATATTTGGAAGAAAGAGTGTGTTTTCAGGAAATAAATGACGCAATGTCTGTTAATTAAACAGATGCAGTACAGACCTGCATGTGGATCTGAATCAGGGACATTGTGAGTCATGTTGGGACCTTAATCCAAATGCTCCCTCAGTGCATTAATACCCTAAAGAGATGAACAATTACAGAACAAAAAAATCACATTTTATTGATTACAGGGGACCAATGGCAGTTCATAATCTGCCTATTTTCTTCCTTAAGTGTTGGCTCTAAGTATGACATATTTGCAGCTTGTTCCTTGACAATGCATAATCCAGCTCTCTTATCAATATGTTCCAAACACTTTCCAAGGCGGCTTAACAGAGTACCTCCAAGCTCTGCATTCAGTCTCACAGTCTCTCACAGAAACTGCAATATTGAGTTATCTGCCAGTAATGTGCTGATTGATTGGAATATACTAAACATGCAAAGCAATATTAGAGATGTTTCTGTGGACTTTCTTGCAAAAAGTGTGTTTTATTCCCAACTGAAGGTTTACTTACATTAAGACAGACAAACGTGGCATGTGCAACAGGCCCAATATTTTAACCACTGGTAACACTGCCATTAAGCTATAATACTGCACGATTTAAGCCTTCGCACGGTAGATCTAAGCCGTGTTAGCTGTGCTTTTAAGTGCATAAGCTGAGTTTTTTTTTCCAAACACTGTTAAAAATCTGGCCTCCTCTAGTATACAGCAGACTCATTTCTCTAAATTACCTTCTTTTCTGAGCACTTTACACAAGAAAATAGGGAGACATGGGACGATGATGAGTCTGTCGAGTGCCCTTTTCTACTTCATGACAATATAAACGCCCACTCACTAACACACAGTTTACTCCAGCTCACTGCCATTACACAGCAGAATCACTCGAAAACGTTGTAGTACATGCCTTTGGGATTCGACTGTTTATAAGAGTTCCCACAAATCATAAACCTGTCAGAGAGTAGATGATTTTTCTGAAACAAAAAGAAATTTTGGAAGAGACTTCTAATCCCCAGACCCAAGCAATCAACCCATTACACGATGCCCTCACCTCGAACAAAAGCCAGGACTTCATGTTTGAGTCACTCAGATGCTCAGGGGTTGTTTGAAGGTGAGGCACAACAATAAGAGCAAGACCCTGGTGATAAGCAATCAGTGAGGCACACTCTGGAGACAATCACCACAGAGACACCAGAGCAGCTCAATAATACTTGGTGGAATTGGTGACAGTTAGCCCAGACAGAAAATGGTCACAGAGGGGTGCTCCCAATAGCATCTACTGTCTGACTAAACTGTCCACACACACACACACACACACACACACAAGTTATTACATCCACTGAATCCAGGAAGAACAGACCGAATTTCTTTGTTTTTTAAAGGTTACAGAAAAGCAGTACTTGCCCATGTGGCAATTTTGTCACTACAATGCAATTTTGACTTTGATAACCAAGTTTCATATCTAAAAATTCAATACTACTACAATATCGCAGCCAACAAGAAAATCCCTAGAGAAATATATAAACCTCAGCTGTCCCGGACAACTGTGGAGCATCTGTTTCACAGTGTGAGGTTTGAAATTATCGGGAAGTGTGTTAGATTTAGATATATATCTAAAAGTCTCTACAGCGAGACAGCATGTCATTTTTGAAAATCAAATACTTCGAATGAGACTTCATTTTTAGATGTACCTAAAGTCAAATAAACATCATAATTCTGCCTCACACCTGTAAATGTTTAACCTTTTAACATCCACCAGGTCACTGGCGATTCACTTAGGTTTAGGGTCAGGAGCAGGGTTCGGGTTTTGGACTCCACCAAGGCTGTCCTTTGTTAGCGCTTTTCATGGACAGAATTTCTAAAGGAGTCAAAGGATGAATGGCGTCAGATTCCGAGATCTCAAGATCCGTTCTCTGCTTTAGGCAGAGCATATGGTTCCCTTGGCTTCAACAGGCAATGTTTGGTGACTACAAAAATAGGCTTCCTTCCAAAAATAGGGTGTCTAGACTGTCCATTAGAGAGCGGTGGAGAAGCGGAGTCATTTGGATGGGGGTCAGAGTAGAGCCATTACTCCTTCACACCATAAGGAACAGTTGAGGTGGTTTGGGCATCTTTCTACGATGCCTTCTGGTCTTGTCCTAGGGGAGGTGCTCTGAGCACTGGTGTAACCTTCCTGTATGTTTCTGGTTCGGCACACTGCTGTCTTCACTATTTGCCTTGACCACTTTAGTTTTCTGGGCTCGTGTGGATTCTCGCAACCACTGTGTGTGTTGGTGTTCAGGCTCTGGAGATTCAGGTGGCCCTGATGGGAGTTAGGGTGTTGTCACAGTGTGAACCATCACACCGTCTGTTGTTGTTTCTGCTTGTTTCTCTGTTCCTGCTTGAGTCTTTGGTTTCATTGCTGTGTATTTTGCACTCTTTGAAGGGAGGTGATTGATTGATGCACACATGTTCACAAGTAAAGGTTAGGTGTTCTAGGCAAGTCCTACCAGGAGGAGGGTCAAGGGCAAATCCAAGATGTGCTGGAGATATTATATCACCATTTCCTTGGTGTTCCCTTAGATAAGTTGTGGGAGGTAACCCAGGGGAGGGACGTCTGGGCTTAAAACTGCTGCCCAGCAGCACATGATTGATGGATGTTAGAATAGCAAAGCTCTGACATCATGAGCGCAGTGGGCTGCTGGATTGATGACAATCCATGTGTTAATGCAGATGTGTTCAGAGTTATTTGTTTGTCTTAATAAATTTCAGTTAATATACTAGTGAATGGAAGTAGTTAACTTTAACAGAAGGAAAATGGGTGCAGATCAGTGCATCACGCATACATTTTATGTTATCCAGATGTAAAAACAAAATTGCCTGCCGTTTTACATGATTTGTGATGCAGACCTGTGTGTTCAGATGGGAAAAGCTGCAGAAATGGTGCATCATAGCATAAGCATCCCTTGGGTTTAGCATGTATTCTTTCAAAGCAGTTCGCCAACATTATCTCAGGACAGACGTTGGCAATCAGTTCAGGATGCTGTCTGAAATTGCCCCTTGTCATGTGTAGAACACAGCAGGAGCCAGCCTGGGTCAAATGCATTCTCGCCTTCAGAAATATGGTTTGCTTTAGGCGAGGGTGCTGCCTCCATAGAACACGGGGGAGGCAGGAAATGAGGCGTTTACTTGCTCGCTGTGAACACTATGCGTTCAATCGGGCATCATGCAGAGTTTACACTAGGAAGCTGGCAGGTTGAAGACAACTTGATGTCCAATTTGGCTACATTTGAAATTTGCTGTAGCTTGTCTGGCTTATTTGGTTTTAGAAATTTGCAGTAATTGTTAGATCCCTTCCTGCCTACTTCTGGTAACAAACTGTATGTAAAGCAAGTGAAATTCGTATATTAATGCAGGTAACCTTGTTTTCTACTAGAATTAAGTTACAAAAAAAATCTCACCTGTAGCTTGTGTGTGTGCGTGTGTGTAAACTCCAAATATAGCTGACCCAGGGTCTTCAGACTTCTCCCAGTGCCAGACCAAAAGCTCTGCGTGATGCATTATTAAACAGTACCTTACCTGCCTTGTAGCACTCTGCACTACTGAAGGATAATGTGTTCAGCCTGTGAGAAATGCCTTTTTCTTCCTATTTTACCTTAATGTTCACTAGACTGTGCTGCTCTCTCTGAAAGCCAGCATATCCGAGAAAAGGAACAAAGAGCAAACTCAGACAGGTTAAGTTCAGAGCTGAGGTCACCCCTCATACAGGCCAGAACAACTGAACGCTTTTTATTGATTAGAAGTTCACCTGTGCTAGAGACGTGCCTGCACAGACGATAAGTCATATAAAGGATGCTTTAACACCCTCAAAGATGTAGTTGGTTTACAAATGGGCTTCTGCAGGAGGTGTTTTCACGCTCTAACAGGCACAGTCTGTTTTAAATACTGCAGGGAGACAAACCTGCCTGTTTCCCTGACAAAGCTGTTTTTAACACAGCCACAGTGGACATCAGTAACCCTCAAATCTCTTAACTTGCTAAACATAAAGAGATAATCTGGATTGAGTCCTACAAACAGCATCTTTTTTTTTTCTAACTCTTTGCTTGTTTGTTTGTCTTTTAAACAGGTGATGCCAAATCAGAAGACACAGCCAATAAGGAGGCAGGAGAGGAGAAACCAGAGGAGGACAACGACTATCACCGTAGTGACGAGCAGGTAAGCCTGACGGACGGCAACATTTGCTCCTTGTTTCCTGCCTCCGGGGCCTTCTCGAGTGGCAGCCTCTCTTGTACTTTGTTGCATTTCAGAAAGGCACATCCCCCCCTTGCTTTGAGATATCGGCCTCCGTTCTGGCACAATCTTAATCCTCAGACCTCACTGTCAACTGTTTTTTTAAATTCCAGATACTTTTTGCTGAAGAGAAAGTCTTTGTGAAAACTGTTGACAGCAAAGTCTGAGGATAATTCAGGCCATCGGGGACATTATGGTGTTACGGCACCGGGAAAAACAGAAAACCCAAACATAATCCTGTCCTTTGCTTTATTAGTACAGAAATGGATCTAAGGAGATATCTGCTTTGTTAGATACCACAGCACTTGAGTTGTTTTCAGTCTAATTATGTTTTATATTTTGCACAAAAGTCCACAAGGCAGGGAAGTATATATTTTTTTTCCTTTGAGCAGATACTGGAAGTGAATCGGGTAAAATAATTATGGGTTACAAAGCATTGTGTCAGGAACAAAAGCACCAAGGAATAAAAATACTGTTTGTGATAATTGTTTGTACAATTGCCTTAAAAGCCTGAACATCAATTATTGCCTTTATAAAAGTGGCCCCCTTGTGGTTTACCAGGCTGTTTCACAATTACTGGGTTCTTTTGTCTTTCGGCTGTTTGATTTGCACGGAGCCACACAGACACCACAGACACACCACTGCTACCCACTGAACATATTTAAAATGAAAATGGGCTTTTTCTTGATTCCATTTGTATTCCGGCGCGTTCTTAAGCCCTGAAAAGTGTCATTAATAATGCAGCGAGAGTGGAGTTACTATTGTTGCCGGACAGACGCCATGTGGAAATAATGGCTCGCTGTTTGTTGTACAGGCTGAAAAATTAATCTTGTTCGAGTTTTAGCTGTTGCTTTTCTAAAGAATTGGATTTATATTTAAAAAAACAAAACAACCACTTCTTTGCTGCCATGTGGGAAAAACAGGCCGCCCTGATGAGGGTGAAGATCTTGCCCTTTGGATACTCGGCAGCAGTGCAGAATGCACTCGAAATAGCTAATACAGTGGGCTGCGTGAGCTGAATGCAGTGATGTCAGATGTAACTCAGAAGGGTGGGAAGGGAAAATAACATGAGAGATGGAAAAGAGACCAAGTGTAGGAGAGAGAGGTGATATCAGGTCACCATGCAGGGGGTGAGGTGATCATAAATACGATTCTCTGGGTTTTATGTCGGAGGGAAGTCTAATGTGAGATGATGGAAAAGTGAGCCTCATCAGAACATGCAGAAAGGAAATGGCTGAAATAAGAGGATGATGATGGTGCACACTCTTAAAAGTAGGGAGCTTTTAGACCAGCAGGGAGTGAAAAGAAGAATAGGGGGGAAAAAGCCCTTTCACTCAAAAATACAACCTTGATTTGAGGAAGGCGGCTGCATTGATGAGAACGGCCGCTGACACAGTGATGTGGCAGGAAATCATAATACAGAGTGTCATCCTGCATACATTGACCAGTCGGATAAATGCAAGCACACGCTGCTGGCAGATCACATTATCACTGGAGTGGTGTTTTTCTGAAGTCACCTTTATAGTCATTTATACTTTGTGTGAAAAAGGGCTTCTCCTGCTGTCAAATACTGCAGTTTGCTACTTATTCTATATATAGAGGTGATGTTTGTGGATGTGCTTGCTGTATCCAGGACTTCATATTTAGGCTTCATTCGTGTAATATCATGTACTTTGATTGACAAACCAAGTTCCAAAAATGCTGAGATGATGTATAAGATGTAAATCAGTGCAGTGCCGTATTTGCAAACAATTTTACCTTTTGTTTGGATTTTCTGGACAGCACGGAGAGAGTAAAGCTCAAATATGCAGAGCTAACTGTTGTGGTTGAGACCCTCGGGATAAAGGAGCAGCTGAAAGAAGCTTTATTGGGGGTTTTGGTCATTTTACTTAAAAAAAAAAATATATATATTCTCGTTGAAGTAATTTGATGGCATGGCTCTGCAAAACGGGATGTTGCATCTCTGAGCAGATGGAAGTGAAAACAGCAGTTTCAGTCGGGGGGAATGAAGATGAACAGCAATTTTCTCCCAGAAATCGAGAACAACCAGCAGGCGTTGTGAGCATGCATGGAAGACTTCCAGAACGCTCCCCCGCTGTCTTCTGGACGACCTTTTAGAGTATAACCTTGGGGTGTTGCTAGGCGAGAAAGAAACTTGCAACAAGCTCATCTAAAAAGGGAGAAACGAAATTCCCGATAAAAGCTGCAATTAATCAGAGCAGCCTACTTTTGCAGCAAAGCATGAAGCTCGTTTCTGAGGTTAATGTTTCTAGACGAGGTATAAAGTCTCCAGATGGGGTCACCTTCAGGCTCATATCAAATTTTGATAGAGTCAGAACAGATTGTGTAAATTTAATAAACTACAGCTATCTTGGATTTAAAGAGTCTACTTTGGAGACATTTGCGATAGAAGCTTTGCTCTGAATTATTTATTGATGTCTCCAAATGTAATTTATCAGAGATCCAAATTCAAAATGCACACAGACAAACTTTTACTCCACACAGAAGAAGGTGCAGATAGAAATGTTGCATCAGCGCTCTGCAACCATTCGGGACTCGGCAACATGGTGTAAAGCTTTCACTTCATGACTCCTGAAGGCTCGTGCGATATTTTCTTGATACGCCTCTCCCTTGCATCATCACGTCTGTGTGTTTAGCTGAAGCGGGAGTCCTCGGCTCTGTGAGCACATCACTAATCTATTTTAATGTAATGAAACTGCCTTGCGGCCCGCTATCAAGCTGCCGTGGAGTCCAGATCACTGCTAAGGGTTTTATTTTACATTATGAGCCTCCCTCATTGCCAGCACCACTGGAAAGCAGATATATTATGAATCTGGGTTTTGCTTATTGAAGGGCAGGCTGCTCACTGAAGCAATGCCAGTGTTTACTTGAGAGCAGAGATGATTTCCAAGTTTAAACAGAAACCAGGGTAATGTTAGCTCTCTCCATCTCAAAAGAGAAAGATGAAAAGAGGAAGAGGAACACCCACAAATGAATAAATCCAACGCTTCTGCCTTTGTCTCTTGATATGTGCCGCTGGAGCCCAGTAGCAGTAATGCATTCTGACTCCCGCTACCATCCACTGCCAAAAACCACCTACCATGTTACCTCGGGGGGGTGGGGAGACAAATGAATGGGCCAATGGCATTAAGTGTCGGTCGTGTGAAAGAAGCCAATAAACAAAACAAAACAAAAAAAACAGCAGCAGAGGTTCAGTGAGATGTTGTGAGGAAGCAGAGGAGGAAATCAACACCAGCTTCAGGTTGAGGTTTTATGAGAAGGTGGGTGAAACGAGCTACAAATCCACCTGAAGTCTTCGGTTTCTTCACACATACCGTGTGAGCTGAATCGATCCCTGCGGCCGGGCTTCTTGGTTTCATGTCTTTGCAAAAGAGATGCTGTAGAAAGGTGGAAATATGTTTGTTACCGGCTACAATTCTGGTTACACAGCCAAAACTAAATTGTTGAATGGATTATAAATGGAAGGCAAACCAAATATTGTGGTTGTTCACAGCCTCAGTGACAACAAAAACTGACAAATGGGGCTTAAAGGCTGTTTAGTTATCCAGACTGAAAACATTTCTGTCATTCTTTAAAAGCAGCATTGAAGATTGAAGCGGTTTTTACAATGTTGGTATAAATCAGGTTTGGCGATTGTCAGCCATCTCTGTCTTCACTGGACGGTTACCTGCTTTATACGTTTATAAGCACAATCAACGAAACCTCAGCTTTGTACCAAGCTTTTTAATGTCTACTTCAGCCGAGTTGGATAATTTTCTCACATTCAGCTCTGCTGGGTGAAAAGTTCACAGCTGCAGGACTTGTGAATTCTGCCATGAGGTTTTTGACCTTTGCGGAGGTGGGAATTTTGACCTTTACGTGCTGCCAGGTGAAACTTTCTGGGCTTCTCAAAGTAAGAAGGTGGTTCTTATGAGGACTGCAGATGTCTAAGTTGTTCTGAACTTTCTTTTAAACCACAGGTGTCGAACTCCAGGCCTCGAGGGCTGGTGTCCTGCTAGTTTTAGATGTGTCCTTAATCCAACACAGCTGATTTAAACGGCTAAATTGCCTCCTCAACATGTCTTGAAGTTCTCCAGAGGCTGGTAATAAACTAATCATTTGATTCAGGTGTGTTGACCCAGGGTGAGATCTAAAACCTGCAGGACACCGGCCCTCGAGGCCTGGAGTTTGACACCCCTGCTCTAAACCAAAGTGTTTATATATTTATTTATATTTAACTTTACACACATGACTACAGTTTGACTGTGAAACAGCAGCATTTGAAACAGCTTGAGGCAGTTTGTTTTGTAGATTATAGGCTCTGTCAATCATGTAACACTAGATTCACGATGACATTCAGATCAGGGCTCTGCAGTGGACACACTCCACATTGTCACTGATGCTAGCTCTAGCACTGCCCTACTACTTGCTCTTTAAAAGGAACCTTGCGATCCCTCCCTTGCAGCACTTTAACATGAAACAGTTCTTAATGGCCTTATAAAATGATAAGATCATGTACCCACACTTCAGTGGACGCAGGATTTAAATCCTCATCTTCTGTCTCCTAACAGGTCAGCATCTGCTTGGAGTGCAACAGCAGCAAGCTTCGCGGTCTGAAGCGCAAGTGGATCCGCTGTTCAGCACAAGCCACGGTCCTCCACCTCAAGAAGTTCATTGCCAAAAAGCTTAACCTGACATCATTTAATGAGGTACAGATAATATCACACTCCACCAGCCTGGGAAACGCAATGATGACAGGGAAATGAGTCTGTCACGAACTAAATGTAGTTTTAGTGTAAAATTAAAGCTGTAAAGGAAGCAGTTCAAGAGGAAACACTCCCCCCCTCAGCGCTTGTTATCTCCATGTTGATAACCTTGAGAGTCTGCATCACTCTGATCCTTTTATTGCTCAAAGCTAGACTTAACTTGTACATTTGACGCTTTCTACTAGCCTTAATTACAAAGGAACAGAAATGGCTTCATATGTTTGTTCTTGGAGGTTAAATTAATCCTCATTTTATCTGATGCTGAGCCTCAGTGAGACCCTTAAGGCCATTCTCGGTCTGAAAGGAGCTGTTTTTGCTACTCCCCCTCCCCTTAAACCAACTATATTGTCATTAGTTGCCCCTTTGTAAACAGAAAGTTTGAACAGCAAGTGGGTGGGGCTTCTGTGCCCAGTCATATTAGGAATATCTTTGACATTGTTCAGAATCAGTAGTGGGTTAAAGCTAAAAAGCTGCTAGAAGCTGAGAATCACAAGCAGCCTGACCAGCAGCTAGAAGCGTGACCTGCACCCTGACACCATCATTTCAAACATTATAAATCCAAACCTGAAAAACTCCACAAAACCCCACGACCATGACACTTACAGGCTTTCTTTCCAGGAAGTTTTACAATAATTCCTATAGTAGTTTGTGATTAAACATCAAGATTGCGGATTACTGCTTTTAGTCATTTTAATTCTTGTTCTTACAAAAACATTGTGTTTCTTTTTCCAGAAATGGATTTGTAGCAAATTGGAACAAATCTCTTAATTCTTGGCGCTTGTTTTACGTTTTCGGAGCACCAGCTGGCCCGTGTGGGCCCCGCGTATCAGAAAGTTTTAGTTAATTGCAAGAAATTGCATAAAAGGTCACTTTATTGTAATTCTTCTGTACTGACTCATACAATGCCTTTTGTGTTTGTTATATTTAGCAGGAAACAAGCCCATATGAGATCTAATTTTTCTATTAATTATCGTTACCACCCTGTTATAAGCAGCGGGAGATGGGAGGGTGGAGGGGAGTAGGCGATAATTTGACAGATGGATTTTTCGATTGAATCATCAGTCGCCTCCTTGTCGTCTATTTTTCTGTTTTCTCCGTGTCTTTTTTTTCTTTTTCTTTTTCTTTTTTTTTTTAAACTGGCTGTCACAGAGATGAGTGGGAAGGCTCCATCATATCGTCGGCCTCCATAACACAGCTTTGGCGAGGCGGAAGCTCTCCCAGCCAGCCATTGTTGTCCTATCTACTGACTATCAAAAGATGTTGTTTGAAACGATTTCTGCTTTCAATGCCGAGCCGAGCGCAGAGCATTGTCAGGGAGCAGTACACCAGTTACTCATTGATCATGTTTGTAAACCCATCATTGTGGCCACGTCATCTGAATGTCTCTGCAGGAAGTGTTTCCGTCGGATGAAACGAGGATAAAAGGAATGCCCAAAATGGAGGAAAATCAGGGATCGATTCCTGGAATCAAATAGATTTTGTTAGGTCTTCTTTGATGACCATATAAAGACAATAAAGATGTTGTTCTTATTATTAAGCATTATAAATGTTACAAGAATAAGCACATTTTTGGCATTTAAAAGACTATATCTTGGAAAAAGCTAATCTTCCAATCTTAAAGTTTCACATATACGAGATGCATTTTTAAAAAAAATCCATTAATTACTTTTTTTTTTTTTACACACTCTAAAATCAGTCCCTGTTTTTAGCTGTGTTTAATCCATTTTTTAAACTTTGTGTGATTTCAGTTCAATAGCTGTGGAAACTAGTTCACAACAGCAGTCGCCTCAGAATGCTTTGAACTGTAAATGCAATAACAGAAAATGAACCAAGCACTTGGCAGCTGTGGAGACGAAGAACTCCCTTTAAACAGGAAGAGACGTCCAGCCAGGCTTAGGCCCGGGCAGCAATCAATCACTGATCCATGCTGTAACTATAAGCTTTGTGAAAAGCCAAACTTAATTTTAAAAGTCCCAAATCCAACGTGGGAAACTGGTTCCACAGGAACACGGGAGCCTGAAAGATGAAGGCTCTGCCTCCCGCTCTACTTTAAGGAGCTCCGGGAAACACAAGCCAGGGGCTCTGAGAGGGATGAGTGCTCTATTGGGGGTCTTTAAGTTATGATGGGACCTGATTATTCAAGAATTTTAAATTAAATTCTGGTTTTAACAGGAAGGCAATGAAGAGAATCTAATATGGACGGGATGACTCTCTTACTCATTCCTGTTAATACTCTGTGACATTTCAGGCTTGTCAGGAAGCTTTTAGAGCAACCTCATAAGGAATTACAACAATTCAGCCCTTTAAGTAGCAAATGAATGGACAAGTTTCCCAGCATCACTACAAATGATTCATTTAGTTTAAAATCTCATAGAACAAAATTCAGAAGATCACAGTTTTGCTTTGATTGGTTTTGGTGTGCCAGATTCTGGTTTCCTTCTTAGATTGCTTTTTAATTTTTTTCATTCAGCATCTCATTTTTCTGATTTTCATTGTGAGCATCTCTGTTTAGATAATGATGATTTAATAAGTTTCTTCAGGGTTTACGGGTAAAAAGCATCTTAGCTGTGCAATTCAATTTTAGATTTATGTTTTTGTTTTGTTTTGTCAGACAGAAAACCTGATTGGAGAATGAAATTCTTCCCCTGAATTGCATCCTCCAATCAGACCTGGACAGTTTCAACTCCTCCCAGCCTTAAAATGTGCTCTCTGTGAGAGCCAGCAGGTGGCGCTGTGGCAGTGTCCCTCCCCAGCCTTCACTTTCTCTCCCTCCCTGCGTGCCTCTCAGTATTGATTGGCAGATGCAGATGCGAGGAGCTGCTCAGAAGAATATCAATGCCGGCTTCACGGGGGAGCGGTAGATTTGGCGAGCCGGCATCGTGTTCAGTATCGAACTTTTGGATTCTCTGTGCGGGTGCCAGGGGCCACTCAATGTCAAAATGAGCCCCCCACTCACCCATCCACCCACCCAGCTACATCTCCAGGAAACACTGATGTTAGAATAGAAAGAAAGAAAGAGGGGAAAATAGTAGAGTTTCACTTTGTCCTCGCACTAAACAGCAGAGACCTCCAGCATACGCCGCTCATATTAACGTCATGTTGTTAACTACTCTAACTACTCTTGCACAAATTGGGTCAGATATCGTTCAGTAATTTGTTTCTGTGCTTCTTTTCTCAGCTGGACATTTTATGCAACGAGGAAATCTTGGGGAAGGACCACACTTTGAAATTTGTTGTTGTTACAAGATGGAGATTTAAGGTAAAAGACAAATTGAGTTTGAGACTGGTATTACCAGTAATATCCAGTTGAATTGATTTCACTGAAATGGTTTTGCTATGTGGACACTTATCAACTGAAAACCAATCAGCTGACTACAGACTGTTCATGCATTGATAGAACCAGTTAATATTGGCGACTTTTCCCCAGAAGTAAACTCCAATAGTCTGATGCATTTCCGGGTTATACTTTTACTGAACAGCCATCAGGCAAGCATGCTTTCACCACATGCCATAGCTCCATTTGGTTAACTAGCACAAGCAACATGAGTAACAGTTAGCATCTCATTAGATTAAGCTAGTTATCAAAGCTGCTTGTTAGCTGCTGTTATTCCTTCTGCATATCATATTTAATTCAATTCAGTTTTACTTATATAGCACCAAACTACAA